GGGAACAGGAAAGGGGACTGACAGTGATCTGGGCAGAAGCCAGGGGTGTCAAGTTCATAACTGGACCATGAGAGGAGGAGGGTACAGCAGGGAAACCTCCCTGAAGAGAGGGGCCCCAAAGAGCATGGAACATGGATGATTTGCAATGGTCAAGACCCTCATGTACTGTGACAAGCATGCTGGCCATCAGCCACACATCAGGTAGGACTGCCATAAGTGGCCTCAGAGGGGGAGGAGGAAACAACCAAGACTATGGTGAAGTGAAGGTGGAAAGAGAACCCAAGAGGGGGTTGGCAGCTTGTCTGGAAGGGGAATGAGAGAAGATGCCAGTTAGGGTAGATGGAGAGTCACACGGACATTGGGAGAAAATCATCAGAACATTTATATGCCAAGACAGTGGAGACAGTGGCCCCAGGCAAGCTCTTTTGGTAGTTTGTGCCCATTGGTCCCAGGTTGCTCAAAAAGTTGGCATCAGCTGCTGGGAGGAAATAGCCCCATGGGAAACGGGGTGCTGCTTGGGGCGGTCGTGGGGAGCAAGAGGGTATCAGACAAAGGGTCAGGGATTATTTGGAAGCTGTGAGTTGTAGACCAGAGCAGAACCTCAGGGGAAAAAGCATATGTGTGTATGAGCATGTATGCGTCCGCATACACACACACACACACACACACACACACACGAGTGTGGAGGTGGTTGTTATGATATGCTAGTATGTTTTAAGGTGGATTTCCACTTTGTAGACTCATTATATGGGCGTGCTGATCATATTTCCAGGCATTTAAATTATTTTGGGGTCCTCCTATTAAACACAGCCTGTTGGCTTCGTTAAATTTTCAAGATAAAGGACTATAAGTAGAATTGCTAAGGAAAAGATAACGTTTTGTTGTTGTTGTTTTTGGTTTTTCATTTTTTGTTTTTTGATTTTTTGGTTTGTTTGTTTGTTCGTTTTAGTCCTTTCAAAATCATTCCCAGACTCCAGGAGTTTCTTCATTCACCCTTTCCTGGGATCACAGCCTTTACAAGGCTTCTTAGAATGCCCAGCCCCAGCCATCCCAGCCACACCCTTTCTGGCCCTTGATACTATTTAAATCTCATCCATTTTTTGCCAACCAGCTCAGTTTGCGATTCTCTAGTTTTATTTTCTCTTAGCCTAAGTGATGTCTCATAGAAGATTCTGAGCGAGGGAAGGAAAATGTGGAGGGTAAGCAGCATCCAGGGAGGGGTGTATGAAAGAGACTTGAGAATGGGCTCCAGAGACAGGCTGACAGCTACCCCGAGGTGCAGTGTAGAGCAATGGGACACTTGTAGCTGAGTGCTGGCCTGTCTGTCGCTGTCCGTTCTGGCTCTCAGTTGGATTCTTTGCCCTACGGGTCACCCTGGGTGAGCACAGACTAAACTGTGCCTCACAGTGTGAAAAGTGTGAAGAGCCAGCCTGGGGCTTTATCTCCTTCTATGAGGTGGAGACCAGATGAGGGCAGAAAGACCTCTCCTGGAGCCTCTGAGCATCCCTGGTTCCTGCAGATGCAGCGAGGAAGCTTTGTCAGCCTTGACATGAGTAGGGACCCTGCAATCATTGGGCATCCTGTGTCAAAGGTCTAGATTTTCCTTCCTATCTTTGTGGCCTTTAAAAAAAAAAAAACAAGAAAATTTTAATTTTATCTTAAATTATGTGTATCTGGTTTTGGGGGTGTGTATATGAGTACCAGTCCCCACAGAGGCCATAGGCATTGGTCCGCTGGAGCCGGATTTGCAGGCAGCTGTAACTGCCCAGCCTGAGTGCTGGGAGCTGAACTGGGTCCTCTGCAAGAGCAGTGTATGTTCTTAGCCACTGAGCCACCTCTCCAGCCCCTTTGTTCTTAATACATACAAGGAGCAAATGTGCATTTTAAAAATGGCTTTCAGACTTAAATAGTGTCAGGCTGTTCCAATAGACTTCAGAAATCTCCCTGATCAGGATGTTTGAGAAAGCAAGATTCTCTCTAGAAAACCTCATCAGAGGCTCAGTTCTGAGCCCACAGGGTCCCCACGCATGTTGGGATTACAGAGGGTAGGGCTTAGGGGCCTCGTGCAGTCTGCAGGGGTTAGATGATTCAGCGCCATCCTGTCCTACAGTCCGATGACTAGTAATGTACACAGCACAAGCGGGCATTGCTACTTCACGTCTGTGTTCAGGGCTAAAGCTGGCCTGTCGGGAGCTGCACAGTAGCCTCCATGCGGGAGCAAGTGTGCATTGCCACACAGCGAGGTGGGGCTGCTGCAGAGCTCGCAAAGGCCGAGATGAGGGCCGACAACAGGACACACTGCTGTTCCCGTGTTTGTTCCCCCTCTGGTCCACACTGACGATGAACTGAAGGAACAGAGGTTACTCTTCATGGCCACCGATTGTACAACAGTGGACAAGATAAATAAGGTTCAGGGTTAGGCAATTTCCTTAAGGCCACAAACTAATAGGTTTTCAGAACCGAGGGGTCACCCTGATCCTTCTGTAAGTTCAGAGGCCTCTCCAGACCCCTGGGGCTGCAAAGCCCAACCCCCACTCTTTGGGTCAGGAGATACTAATTTAGCTCACCTTACTCTCAGAAGACCGTTTTTCTGTACGGTGCGCTTGGGAGATGGTCCTTGGGATGCTGTCTGAAGCTGTTGATGAGAAGAAGGGGTGAAAGGATTACCCAACTCCAGGAAGAGAGGGGTCTGGGGGAGACATTGTTTCAGTCCCCTAGCACTATGCACCAGGCAACCTGGGAAGAAACTACCTTCCCCAACCCCAGAATTATCTCTGCTTCTACCACTTTCTCAGGATGGCTGTAAGACCAGGAATGTCACGTGACCGGTGGGTTAATTTGTTTGAGATTTTGCCACAGAAAACTACAGGAATTCAAGGAGCAGCCTGACCACTCTCAATGAAAAGCAGAATTACAGACAGCCCAGGATCAAAGGTGCCCTGAAGAGCTAGGGAATCTTTGGCTGGCCCTTTAGGGACTCGTAACACCCAAGGCTATTGATGAGATAGGAGAGGCCCGTTGGACACGGCAGCTGTCTTTCTTCTAACGTCCGCTGGTCAGGTGGTCCACTCTCGTGCACAAGGAAGGCTGCTTCTTCAGGAATTGTCAGGGCGGACCTAAGCTGCGACTGAGGGTACTGTGCATGTATTTCATTTGTGCCCTTTGCTGTCTTTTTCTGGAACTCAATTTTAGACATATAAATTTCCCCCAACAATAACTATATAAAAAGAAATCATTTGCGCCCCCTCCTGGCAAAAGTTAATCTAGCCCCTCCAGAGAGATCCAGCATTTGCTTGGGGCCAGCAACTCATTGCACAGGTGGGCCACCATTATTAATATTCACCTTGGCTGCTTGTTCGTCTAAGAGTATCCGGCACAGTAGAACTTCTCAGCCTTTGTGCACTGGTGTTTGGATGGGAGTTGTTCTCTCTAATAGAGGCTGAGCATGCCTTTCAGGATTTGACACCCTGCTAGCTACCCATTAGATGCCAGTAGCTCATTTGCCCCAAATAATAAGGACCCAATATTTTCAGACATCCCAGGGGCACAAGGTGGTCCTTCATGTTGTAGACCACTCTAAACCATAGCCAATTTGCAAACAGTGACATTGGTCAGAAGGCCGCTATGAGGTGGCAAGGACAGTTCCACACAATCCCTTCATAATTACTGGTAACAACCTCAGTGCATCATCAACAGGATTCTAGGAACTTACTCTTTTAAAAAATGAATGGCTAAACACCTTATGTACAAAGATGTATCATGATATTGCTTATAATTCCTAAAGTGTGAAACACTAAATATATATTGTTGTTTATAAAGCCTGGTACAGAATACTATGCAGTCATGAAAAATAGCCATGTAAATATATGTCTAATAGTGTGAACAGCTCTCCTAGTCATGCCTTTAGCCTCTCCTGTAAGATGTCTTCCGGCCCCTCAGGGGCCGTTACATACAGAAGGGTTCATAAGCACATGGGTAAAGCAGGTCGGATTCAAAACAATGTGAGGGCTGAGGAAGTGGCTCCGCTGGTAGAACGCTTACTGTGTAAGCAAAGGATCTGCTTTTCATTCCCAGAATTGTGTGCAAATCTAGGTGCCGTGGCACACAGCCAGAATCCCAGCACCTCGGAAGGCAGAGTGAAGGGCATTGGATCCGGGTTCAAATCCTGCATCTCCCACTTACCGAACACATTCCTTCACCTCTGTGAGTCTCAGAAGCTTATACTACCCCTTACTCAGTAAGCTCTTAGAGTGTGCTAGGTAGACGTCATCAGAACAGCAGCCTGTAATCTTGGCCGTTACGCCAAGCCCTTCTCACAACCCTCACAACTGCCCCATGACTGACAGTCCCTGTTACAACAGGCAAGCGAGATTTTCATCTTCTGGACAGGAAGAACCAAAACGACTTTGTAAGATTGGTGGGAAGAAGAAAGAAGATAATGTATGTTAAACATTTAATTTAGTGCAGTCCCTAGGATACAGCAAGCACACAATGAAAGCGTGTAGGCATCACTGCCTGGCCCATGCTTTATTTATTTATTTATTTATTTATTTATTTATTTATTTATTTATTTGTTCGTTTATTTATTTTATGAATGGCCATGCTAGCAAAAAAAAAAAAAAAAAAAAAAAGCAAAACTACCGATTTTCCCTGACGTCTCTCCTGACTGGCTTCTGCTGAACACCTTTCTGTCCACACCTCTCTGTCCATCGCCTTCTTTACTGTTTAGTTGAGGTGTCCCTGTTCTCACGGAGCTTTGTACAATAAGAGCCTCTAGTTTGGCATGTGATATATGGCCCAGTCTCAGAGCTCCTGGCACGTGAGCAGCTGCTTCCCAAACCGTTGCCTGCAAAGAGTCGTTTTGCATTTCCCTCTCACATCGGAGGTCATCTGGCACGATGAGGAAGCTGTGCCCAGCCTCTGTCCTGATGGTGGGGAGGCCTTCTGAACTAATGGTGGCTAATGTTCTTTCTTTGTCCTTCTTTCTGTCCCCTCTGCAGGACGCCTTTGTGGAACTCTATGGTCCCAGCATGCGGCCTCTGTTTGATCTCTCCTGGCTGTCCCTGAAGACCCTGCTCAGCCTGGCCCTAGTGGGGGCCTGCATCACTCTGGGTGCCTACCTGGGCCACAAGTGAGATCCATGGACCTGCCCCAAACAAATATGCAAATATGCAAAAGGTTCACTAAAGCAGTAGAGATAATATGCATTATCAACTATGTACCATGAAACAAAGGTGTGATCTTTTTATAAAAGCAGAACACACACACACACACACACAAACACACACACACACACACACACACACACACACACACAGGCACACACAGGCACACACATTCAGGCAAACAGTCGAATCAGCTATTTACTGCCAAAGGGAAATATCATTTATTTTTTACATTATTTAGGAGAAAAAATGATTTATTTATTTAAGACAGCTCCACTGAAACTCCAGGCTTTGAAGACCCTACCAGGAATTGCCGAGAACCATGGTGGCTCCAGCTGCTGGCCTGTGCCTATGGACACAAATCTGTTTTCCGTATTGACCGGACTGGCCCAGCATCAAAAGAGCAAATGGCACCGGACCCTAACTGCTGGGGAAGCCGGTTGTCTGGCTGCTGGGATCTGTGGAGAAGGCTTCAGTGAGATCTATATTCACTGGCCCTGGGGGCTGGGGAACTGGAGGAGGCAGGTGCCTCCTAGGAAGTCTGGTCTTCCTTGAACTGGAGAGGGGACTTTGTATGTGTGACTCCCATGGTACATACCCAGCCAGAGGACAAAGGCTGGGAACTTCAGATGGACTTGGTACCCGCTGAGACTTCCCCACTGAAGGACAGTGATGGGAAAATGCCCTTAAACCACAGGAAATTATTTTTTTAAGCTACCAATTGTGCCGAGAAGCGTTTTAGCAGTTTATACAGTATCATCCAGTACCTTAAGCCCTGATTGTAGATATTCATATATTTTGGATACACCCATCCTTCCTCCAATACTCATCTGTCTGAGTAGGAAATAGAGGCTTCTGGATTTGAGGAAGTGGACGTGTGGTGACTTCTTCATCGTCAGGAAGAATGGGGTCACCCAGAGCTTCGGGCGGCTACAAGTGCCTGCTTTCAGGAGACCATCATCTGCAGAACCTCCCTGCAGCTCGGCCACAAGGCCTCAGCCTGGCCAAGCGTGGCCCTCACCAGCTTACACACGGGCTCAGAACAGAGCAGTTGGTCTCTGAATGTCTGGAAGCCAGCAGAGCTCAGACTTGCACAGTAAGACGGAGCAATAGTGAGACTCGCTGACTGGGGCCTGCTCCCCTCACACCCTTCAGGCAGGCCTGCTTTTTCTGGAGTGGGAGAGATACCTTTCCTAAGACACTTGCTCCTGCAGAGAAGAGAAAGCAGGCTCAGTGCTTGTCTTGCCAGAGGGCGTGGTGAGGGCAGGGACAACACCCCCCACACAAAAAAGCCTGTGGCCCTCCAGGCAGCCATAAGCACCTGTTAGCAGTGGTCTGTCACGTTTAAGGCAGGGCTTTAAGTTACCTTGGGGAGGGTCATAAATCCTAAGGAAGCACTGAAGCAAGGTTCAAGGATTCAATGACCCACGTCTATGGAATTACATGTAAACATCATCTTGTTGTAGTTTGGTTTTATTTGAAAACCTGACAGAGGGAATAAAAGGTTTCAGGTATGTATGGAATGTGGAGATTACCCATACATCCTGGAGCCAAAAAAAAAAAAAAAAAGGAAATTTATAGAGGAATAAGAAAAGAAGTAAAATATCCAGCTAATGAAAGGGGAAACACTTCTTCCCAAGTTTAGAATTAGCATGGAGACATTTGTGGAGTAACTTCGTGGCATTATCACACTCTATACCATTCATCTGTATTAACTTTGGAATGTAACATTCAATGTTTATTACTGTGGTTGATATTTCAAAAGCTGCTTTCAAAAAGAATACATGCATCTCAGCATTTTTTTAAAAATTGTATTTAGTTTCGACCTCCAGAATTTTTGTTAGTAACACAAACAAAAAAGATCATTTTTCCATTTGAGATATTTGTCTCTTGATTCCTCAAAAGCATTTCTGAAAACGTGGGGAAAGCCTGAAAGAGATGAGGGGGGCTGAGAGAACCTGGGTTTCATTGCCCCCTCAGCTGTGTTGCTTGAACTCACTTTTCTACCTGGATACACCCCACCCCACCCCACGGGATTGCTTATTGTGATAGATATAGCTGTTGTTCATTTGACCTTGTTTCTTCAAGGTTTAATTGTCCCCCGACGATTCAGCATTTAACTCAAGTTACTTAGGATTACATGCATGTTTGGATAAACCCATGAGGTTCATTCTGTTGGAAATCCAGATGGGAAACAAGGCAAAGGGTTAGAATCTGGCTATGGTGGTTGGGCCTTCAGAGAGTTGCTTTGTGTGGCCTGTTCCGGTGTAGATGCATCAGGAGCCCTCTTGCCCCCCTCCCCTGAGCCTGCAAGAGCAGGATAGCCAGACCTCCCAGTAGGTTTCAGAGAACAGTATGAGCAGAACTTTTCAAGTTATTGTAACTTTTAAGCAAAATGTTATCCTATGAAAGGTTTACATTCTCCACGTGATGAATATGGAATAACAAACCCTGTGCTGCTATCCCGCCAAGATCGTTGCAATGGAGTCAGTTTGCAGTAAGCGCCAAGTGGCGGGCTCCTTCAAGCTGCTTTTAGAAGTAACGATGAAGAACATAGACAATTTAAATATAAAACCTGTTTCTCTTTTGTTTTTGTTGTTATTGTTCAAACTGGGATTTGTAGAGTATTTGAAAAAATGTATATATATATATATGAGGAAGAGGAAGAGGAAGAGGAAGAGGAAGAAGAAGAAGAAGAAGAAGAAGAAGAAGAAGAAGAAGAAGAAGAAGAAGAAGAAGAAGAAGAAGAAGAAGGAGAAGAAGAAGGTCATAGGATTCCTTCAGGTGTGGGATTCTGTTTCTGATTTGAATGGCAAATTCGCCCAGTCACTGGACCCAGAACTGGACAGTATTGTGGCAGCACTTGCTCTAAGAGTAGTCGATTGTTCGTTTTTCTTGTTAAAAACATGTTAGGTGCAAAGAGTGTATATAGAAGCCTTGACTAACCTTTTTCTTCCTCCTCTTTAAAAAACAGTCTCTATTATTTTACAGTCAGGCAACAGAGAGCTGTTCCCATGCATTTCATATTAAGAAGGGTTTCACACCCGAATTTCAACTCCTCCATAAGCTTTGGAATCTTCTCTGCGTCAGTCAAAGGCATTAGAGACAGCTGACGAGGGGAAGAGCACCCCAGCTCCTCCCAGGGCTCTGCTGCTCACCCTGGCAATCTGAAAGCGAGATTAAAAAAAAAAAAAAAAAATGGAGACGTTCATCCCCAGGGATTTCTTAGGGGCTGACCATGTGTGCAGGTTTGAGATTTCTACAACAGCCACAGTTAAGGAGGCACGTTCATGTCATTCAAAGAAAACCCTCCATCTTGCCCGGCTTGCTTGTCTCTGCATGTTCGGGTGTGGCCTTCATTCATACACACATTTTTTTCACTGGCATATACTTTTATTTATTACATCTAAAAGCCTCACTGTGTCTGGGGGGGGGGGGCGGGGAAGGGGAAGCAGGGTTTACAAAGTGCTTATAAACTCAGAAGGGTTACATAATCAGGACTGAATGTCAGTAGTGGGTTCATTAGCCACATGCCTAGCTTCCACACTTAATAATAGCATAGGCAGAATTGGGAATAGTCTGTATTTGTAATCAAACCTAGGCTAAAACAACTCATAAATGTGAGCCTCAACTCTAACTGTGCTTTCAAGGTGGTGGTGTCTTTATACTTCCTTATCACCTATGGTCAGAAATGTGCGCCTTACCCTATCAGGAAAAAATACAGGAAAGGGTTGAAATATAAGCCAGCCTATGGAAATGAGGGAGCTGCTACAGTTCTATTCTGATCTTATTCTATGGTGTCTATTGCAGCTCAGACAAATATGGTTACACACTTTTTAAGAAATACAATTCTACATTGTCAGGCCCATGAAGGCTCTAATCAGATCTGTATTGTTGCCCAATTTGGATCTTTCAGGGATTTTTCTATGCCATTAGTATAGGGACAAAGGACATTTGTTATGAGGCGGGAGAGAGGAAGAATCTTAAATGAGTACAACATTCTCCACATTGGACCAGGGTATGAAGGTCTTTAGCAAAAGCAGAACTGTGGGTAATGAGGGACTCTTTTGGGGCTCAATGTTATGTTCCTCTGAAGGCTTTTTGCAAGTAAACTCTATGGTACATTTAGATTCCAGGGACACTAACAGAGTTCAAAGTCTGGCTTCATACAATAGCATATGTTTCAAGTTGGTTATGGCTAATGAGTGTTTAAGCAGTAAGTTTGACATTTTAACCAACGGGATATTTAAACAACAACCTTCCAGTTGGTAAAGACATCTGTTTCTCAATGTTTATTATACACAGTGTAGAAAAAAAAATAGGTAAGATTGAATTAAGTAAAACAGTGAGAGTGGTTTAGGTAAACGATTGTAGCCGTCCCTTAACCTTACCCAGGGAACCCTCCAGGCCTCCACAGACACCTCTGTGTTGTGCATCTCATCCGGCACAAAGAAAAGCAGGTGAAGGACACATGGTACCTTAGCGTCTCATCATGGATATCCAAGAAAAAGAGCCTAAAGCCAGTGTTTTGTGCCCCTACTTCAGAACAGGAGACAAAACAAGTCATGGAAGATGGAAAAGCCAGCTCATCAGGAATCCTGGGAATGTTACTGTGCCACGTGGCTATGCCAAAATGCCTGCACCTTCCCACTTGGGCCCTCCAGCTGGCTCACATCTTTAAGTTCTTCCCTCCAAGATAATATCTGAAGGACTGATGGCGTATTCAGGCTCCTTTAAGAGACACTTTCCTTTGGGGGGGGGGGTTGTTTATTATAATATCTTCTTAAGTTTTCAACTAAAGTTTGCTTTGGCTTCAGTTATATTGGGGTTATTTTTTAAATAAAGTAATGTACAAATAAGTGGTTTTTTGTATTGAAAGCTTTGTTATCAAGATTTTCATACTTTTATCCATGGCTGCTTTTAAGGTTGATACTTTTAGGTGTGGCTGATCCTTACAGCACTGTACATACAAAAATATATATAAGTGTACTTTGCATAGTTAAGGTAAAGTAAGTCTCAAGTTGGCTACCATTAAATATACTGGCACTTGGTTTGTGTTGTTGGAAAACGTTACATTGCCATTAAACTCCCCATGTCTGTCTAAAGAAAAATAAAGTGCAGCGTGCAGCGTCTTTTGTCCTCTGGAACTGTTTATAACATGCTAACATGGCTGTGCCTGCCACTTGTCATTATCAAAGAAGCCTTTGGAAAGCCTTCTTAACAAGCCTCTAGGACCATCATGAAAGAGTTCTAAGGAAGTCCTTGGAGACCAGGTGAAGGGATTGCCTTACTAGCAAAAGGACCTTAGAAGGAACACTTTTTGTTTCTTGGCTACTAGTTACCTGCACTGGTTCAGGATGGAGCAGCCATGAATTGCTTGAGAGAATTCCTGCTGCTGTATGGTTAGTTTTTTAATATGATGATCCCAGCCTCAACTCCTGTCCTATTTTCACTGCTCTTACTGTAATAAAATATTCGGACAAAAAGCAACTTAGGAGAGAAAGGATTTAAGATCACAATTCTAAGTTATAGGCCATCATAGCAGAGAAGCTGAGGCCACAAGAGCTTAAGACAGCTCGTCACATCATAGCCACAGTCAACAGAGGAAGGCTGCATATGTGCATGCTTGTGCTTGGCTCAGTTTCCTCACTCTTCACAGTTCATGACCCTCTGCCTCAGGAATGGTGTTCCCCACACTAATCTGGGTCTTCCAACATCAAGTAACAAGAGAATTCCCTCATAGACATGTCCATAGACCAACCCATTATAGACAATCCCTCATGGGGATTCTTCCCAGTTGATTCTGGGTTGTATCAACCAGAGAATTAAATCTATCACCATGCCACAATATGAAATGTTATATGAAAAGGTAAGAAGCTGAAAGCTACATTCTGAAGCTAATATTATAAAACAACCAAAACCAATACTTGCTTTAGAGTATAAGTTGTAAGAGACTCAGTGTTTCTTAATTATATTTGGGTCCTGATATTTTAAGCCTCAATTGTACAAATTTCAAACCTTCAACTTGACTCAAAGGCCTGTGGTGGTTAATATCTGTTTAAAATCTACTGGATATAAAGCCATGCAAAGGCTATCACCTGTTCTGACACCTCAAAAAGTAGGAATTGCCTTTTCCTATACCATAAAGAGGACTGAGGTACAGAAGATACAGTACCCTCATGTTCTCAGTTACCACAAGGTAGAATCCTTCTTCTTTTCCAATGACCTGATCTCCAGGCTGAGGCACACAGAGCCATGGGGTAGCAGCAACCTTTCTGAACAGGCCCAACACTTGAGATGTTTACAGGAATTGTCATGTCGTGGCCTTTCTTCATGAAAGTATCTCCCCAACAATAGCCCTGAGGCCAGACATGTTCTCACCCACCTCCTCCTTTTCAGTCATCTGTCACTCACCTGCCCTCTCTCCAGATCCTACCCGGAGGAGCTTGCTGATGTGCTGGGCAGAGCACCAGACAGGCAAACTCACATGATCAGCTCGTGTGGCAAGCACTCTATCTGCTGAGCCATCTCACTGGTCCAATTCATCGATGCTCTTTCAGAAAGAGACAAGCAGGAAAAATAAATGACACCACAACAAATGAATGCCTGGAATGCGGGTGACATGTTTCGGTTGTGTTTGTGGTTTTTGCTTGTTTGTTGTGTGCTTATTTGTTTATGTATTTACTTATTTATAATTGTGTGTGACTGGGTGTTTGTTTTGCCTGCATGCATATCTGTGCACCGTGTGTGGCTGGAGTTCACAGAAGCCAGAGGAGGTCCTCAGGACCTGTAGTCGCAGATGGTTATGAGGCATGTGGGTGCTCTAATACAAACCCATCTCCTCTGGAAGATCAGCCAGGGCTCATAACTGAGCCCTATCTCCATGGTTTTCAGACAGCTACTGGGGGAGTCCCAGCACTTTTAAACCCTCTACAAAGTCCGTCCGAATTACCCAAGCGCTTTCCTAGGAGTCATCATCACTTCATGGACAGGCTATAAATTATATTCTCTAAGGAAGTTCTGACATGGAACTTAAGGCTAATTTCCTTTAAAAAAAAAACTTTAAAAATGAATTAAGAGTTATATCTTTACCAACTATTTACATTTAAATGTCAAAAATTATTGTCAACAGAAATGTATGATAGTGGCTTTTGCCTTTCTGACATCCTTAGGTGGCACACGAGACGACTTAATGGAAGGCCCCTCTTTGGAAGTCCTGTCCGGGTCCCTCTACACTCCATAGTAAGCCTCTGGCAGCAAACACAACTCAGCAGGGCTTTGCATGTGTAACTGACTTTACCAGCGCCCAGGAAGGAGGTTGCTGGACAATAGTATTTGTAATAATTATTCAAAAAGTATATAGATACCATGATTAAAGTCATTTAAATGAATTGTGTCAACTCTTATTGTCAGAAATATGGGACACGAATCCAACATAAATGTTAGCTTTTGAAAACATCATCAGGATAAAATGGGGAGGTAATGAACATATGAACTGGAAGACAATGTCAAATGTGTAGGGTTTTTAGATAAATAAACTGTTTCTGCATTTCTTAAAGGGCATTAGTCTCAAGTCATACAATGCTTAGGTCCTTTTATGTACACAGAAAAATTATTACATTTTATTCGTGTGTGTGTGTGTGTGTGTGTGTATGTGTGTGTGTGTGGTAACAGGACAATGTGCAGGAGTTAGTTCTCTTTTTTCACCATGTAGGCCTGAAGGAATAAATACAGGCTGTCTGGTTTGGCAACAAGCCCCTTTACCCACTGAACCATCTTAGCAGCCCTGTTACACAGCTTTCACAGCGAGAAAATTGATTTGTTTGGCACTACCAGTTGAGCTTACAGGAAGAAGTGAGAAGGAAACGGATTCAGGGTGATTACACTTTGTCGTCCCTCAAAATCTACATTCACATGTGAGTTGCATCTCAGATCTCGATTGCCCTGGTACCAAGCATAGATGACTGGCTGACCAGAATGGGAGATATGCCGTTCTGGGGGCATATCTGCCTCCTAGCACCAGCCATAAAGGACAGTGTAAACTACAACAAACTACAGCCAATCTTCTCTGATAAGTTCCAGGAGGACCACTGACCCCTGACTCCTCAGCTGGAACAGCTAGATAGATGGTGGCAGCGTTTATTGCCCTAGAGAATGACAGAAAACTGTGGGTTGCATGAAGACTAGATCTGGTAAAGGATAGTCAATAGCCAACTGTCGGCCTGATTTAGAGGCACACTCGTGTAAATCCTAGCATGCTGAAGGAACATGGGACTCGGGGCTGGCCTGGGCTACACAGTGAGAGCTTGTCCAAAGAAACAGTCTATAGGTTGACTCTATACTGTATCTTTCTCTCAAGCTGCAAATTTATGTACCCAACTAAATGTTCAGCAGCTCCTCTTGATCAAT